ATATAGATGCGATAGTCTTTCAAATACGGGATAAAAAAGTTACGGGAAAAAAGTTGAACGAGTTTAGTGTCTGATAAATGCAATGAAGAGGCAGTACGTGATTTTGACGCGATTTTTATAAATCATATCATGAACTAGTATCGTTTCCTAAAAATCGATGTATCTGTGATAGTTCTTTTTATTTTTTCCTCTAAAATTTCTGACTCTTTCTTTCAAACAATAACCAAATTTTATTGTGAACTCCTCTATGATTTCTTAAAAATCTTCGCATAAAAAAATAAAATTTTATAACGAAACAATTTGAATTACACTTCTTCAGAAATGTCAAATAATTAGCAGTAATTGATCGGAGTTAAACCAGATATCTTCTAAATGCGATAAGTGTCTTAAAGAGCAGAGGACTCGGAATAATCAAATAAAGTAGCTTCACACGGCCTATCGTAAACATGGATTAGCATCCGGAATCGAAAAAAATGGTCAGCGTCGAGAACGAGTGAATAATCCCACGCGTTTGACAGTTCACTGATACCGGCGGTTAGAGACACAACTCAGCCCACATTTCGATTACTCTCGTCTCAACCGAGTTTATCTTCTTCGGTTTCTCTGTCGCATAAAGCCTGTCTACGGTTCCGCTATCCTGCCACTCCTCCTTGTCTTTCCATGCCATTTTCAGCCGGTGCAGTTTGCCTACGTCGTCGCCAATAATAGTCGCAAAAAGCACCAACGCCCCAGCAGGATACATTTTGGTTCCCTTAGGTTCTCGTTATTATTTTGCAAAAATTAATTTTAGGAGTAAATTCACAAAATGCATTTTGCAAGAATTTGTGTGCTTTAAAAAAGAAAACCTATTTAATGTTTTTTTTTTTATGTAACAATCATCATTTAAGAAAATCGTCGGCGTCACAATTTACGTTTCCAAAGCAAGAGTCGTCTTAAAGTAGGAAAATAAAAACCTCATGTAATACATTTTATGCAAATCACCTTTGAAATTTGAATGTGAAAATTAAGTACGTTTTTCAAGTCTTTTTTAATTCTGGTTTGAGAGAGCTACGAAATTAAATTTGCTGTTTATATTTTATTCGTTTTATATATCGTATATCTTTGTTATGTCTTAATAATAAGTTGCACAAGATATAAATAAATTACGAGAAAAAATCGAGATAGCAATGCACATTTTTCTCCACAAATTTTTAAGCAAATTCGCCTCATCACATATTTGCATAAATAAATTTTATTACGCGGTACGTAATTTTTTTCGAGACAGCTAATTGATTCAAGTTTATAAAAATTATGGTAAATATCCAAATCGCATTTGCAATTCGCCGCCTATGCGGAAATGCGACGGAGCAATGCACTTGTCGTGCATTGAGTATGCAGACTCGCGCTGCATACGTTACTGACTGGCTGTTACAAATCGAGCGAGAGAGAGAGAAGGTGAACGTGCCACGATCTGGTTATTCTAGTTAACATCACCGGTGCACACGAAGCTCCTTTCGCCTATGTCGTGCACGCTCATGTTTCTCCTCTTGTGTCTCCGCGAATTTAAGTACTCGGAATGTATCAGCGAATATATACATAGTCTCTCAGCCGCAATATATCTCGTTTCCAAACGATCAACAACGTAATTTTCCGTATAAATTGAATCAATATTCAACCATTAATTTTGGAAAAAAATTAATTTTTCTTATTTATTAAATGATGATCATTAAATAAAAATACCATTACATAAAAACATAAATTCTCTCGATGCAATGCATTTTGTGAGCTTATCGTAGAGATAAGTTGGTTTAAAATGCTGTTTGAAGCATTTAAAAAAATGACACATGCATATTAACTCCGCAATATAAAATTGTTTAAACCATATTTATTTTTTATTTCCCATTACTGATTTTTAAAATAATTCTTTTTACCATAATTTCGCGTAAGGATTCAGACTGATGCAAGTGAGAGGAAAAGCATCCGGTCTCTCCCAGATCTAACACATAAAAACGTGTATCACGAGGCTATTCTGGGAAGTTAAAGAGTCGGCGAAAGGAAGGAAGAGAGGACTTGTGGATGTACGCGATGAAACGCGCCCGCTCTTCTTTGAGTCTAACCGCCCTAAACATTCCATCGAGATGACTCCGGGGGACCTCACACAAATGCGCGTCTTGCGCGCATACATATTCACGTCGAGCAAAAAAGACGACGCAAGAGAGAATAGCGGCGTCACAGAGTGGACATTGTCTGGAACCGGCGGGACATATAAGGATATCCGCGGACCTTCATGCCAGAAAAGGTGACTCCTTGCGGAGCACCCAGCAGGACTGGATTCTCGTAAATCGTTCCAGGATGCGACACAACGGATATAGAAAACAAGAAGGGATCGAGGTAGATGGGAAATGATATTGATCCATTTTTAAAGCTTGCAATATTTCTTCGTTGATGCGTTTGTTCGAGACAAAAATATAAATGCAGACAAATTTTGACAAGTCATATGATTCATTTTTTACTCCATTTTATATTTTGCAAAAATTTGCGCATCAATTTTAGACTTACAATTTCTCGTATATCTATTTAAAAAAAAACAATGGTTGTAAAAAAAAAATAAAAAATAAAAAAATGAAGAATGCTGGAATCTATTGTGTATATATATATATATATATATATATATATATATATATATATGCAGAAAATTTTTGACCTAAGTCATATGATTTATTTTTACATATTTTATATTCTGCAAAAATTTGCACATTAATTTTAGACTTATTTCTCGTATATTTATTTGAAAAAAAAAACCCGAAGAAGAATGCTGGAATCTATTGGAATCGATGTGAATCAGACTATGGATGATCAAATCTGACGTGTCTCGCGTCACCTGCGCATGCTGATTTTCTAGTGCAATCACCCGTATGACGTAGTAGAAAAGCTCATTCGCGTTACGTTGACCCTGCGACTGCGACGACAACAGAGTCGTATTTCTATCACGGAGATGCATCACGCGTACGACGACATCGGGACGTCGCGTCCGGATGTTCGCCCGTGAAGACCCGCGCGGAGCAAAAAGTCCTTGCACATCAGCCAGAAAACAAGAAGAGCTCGAGAAACTGCCAACACCAGGACAAGAAACCGACCATTTTCGAAGCGCCCGAAATACATTGCTGTTCGTAAAAGATCGGACCAAACCTCGATATAGTCAGAAATGATTCGACAGGACCAAATAATAAAAGAACTTTCATAAACTCGAATATGGTAAAATAAGATTTTAATATAATCAAGAGTTTAATATTGGAAATTTAAATATAGACACCAAATTTAGAGTTAAGTAAAAACTAAATCAATTGAAAAAGATTGAAATTTTTTTTGCACAAATATAAAATAACCAATTTAAATAAATAATTATTTGTTGTGACAATTAAAAGATGGACAAATCAAAAAATATTTTATTTATTATTTCATTTTCGTTATTATCAATTTTTAATTAGTCTTTCAAATTGCTTGTACGTGTATAGCATAATTATATTAAGACGTGGAATTTAATGAATATTATTATAATATATTATTTTTTCATTGTTCTCACTGCTTTTCATTTGACCAAAAAATCAGAAAAAATCAAATATTTTTAACCAAGATAATTCCTTTTGTCGTGACGCCAGCAAATAAATTTGACGCCCTAATCGATCGCGCTGTTATTTCATCGAATTTATGTCAGTGGCAGATATTAAACCGCGACAGTCAGATATATGCAGCAGCGTCAGCGTCCAGAAGAGTCGAACGAACCAAGTGGCAGTCAGCTGATTTTGACAGATTTCGCGGGGGCGTAAAAGGTCGTCCGCGGAATAAACCCTCGCTCGAACGCTCTTGTCAATTCTGTGGCGCAGGGTTTCCCAAACCACGATGGACAAATAAACCGTATAATTGTTCAAACAGAAAAAAAAATAATATACGAATATTTGCGGTTTTATGTTCTGATGAACAATTGGCCACTATATTCATGGAAAGCCAGACGAATTATATTTTGCTGAAAATCAAAAGCATTCGTGCTATGTGATAAAATTAATTTAAATATTATCGATGATTTACATTTTTCATGGACCAACCAGTTTTTTATGCCCTTATTCATTCATTACATTCTATTAATAGAATTTATATATAAGCTTGACTGAAATAAAATCGAGTTTTTCCGACAGTTAGCTAAAATATTTTCCAATTAATTAATAATTCCAATTCATATAAAAAATTAATGTTTAAAAAAATTTGCAATACATCCGATATTTTAAATAATTAAGTTAATTAAAAAATAGATTGTATCTTCTTTATTTCATATATAAAAATTTATTAAAGGAATACAAATTCCTATGACTGATCCGATTGATCGAATGTTATATATATATATATATATATATATATATGTGTGTGTGTGTGTGTTTGGGAAATCCTGTCTATGGTTGCGTTTACAAATGATCGATCGACAGGGAGTAGTCCCTTTTCAGATCACGGATATATTAATTCGAGAAGTCAGCTGTCGCAGTAGAGCAATAAACCGCTATTCAAATGTACGGCACAGAAGAATTATAATCGTAGAGCGTATTCGTACTGCATTCGCTCCGGAATTCCCGGTTGTGGGCGTAAAGAGTCATTTAAATATTTGCTAACGAAACGAAACGGCACGGCTGTTTATCGCGATCTCATTAAGACATGCTTGACGAACACACGTTATAATTATCTTCATATTAATAGCGTATAAGAATATCTTTTAGATTTTCTTTTTAATTAAGCAATTACTGCTAATGAAGCCAGTTTTGCATTTATTAATAGTGCACTTTCTATATTTTTTCTGATTTTGTTTTTTCAAGAGATTAAGTACTATTTTGCAATAATAAATATTAGTTCTCGAACGGGGGTTAATAATCGCGGAAATGTCAAATGCTCGCAGCAACGCAAGGTTTATTTTCTCTTGCGTAATTTCAGAATAGTTTTAAAAATGCGATCTTTAAGAGTAGTTTCAAATAACTCACCCTATTAGGTTGCACGTGCCAGCTACGCCTTTTCCCATGTCTCTGTATGCCGTCCTCGGAAATGGTTAGGTCGGCTCTGCTGCCGACCAAACAACCCCCTGTATCGTATTGGCCAACCAGAAGTCTCAATCGATTTCCTGGACAGATACCCTAGGGCAGAAGAAAAAATATCATGTAATAACACGCATGCAACTTCGAGATGGTAACGCTTCGAGTAAAATTTTAATCGCGTATAGTCTGCCCCCGATGCCTTGAAAATTCAATGCGTTTTATCCCTCAACAAATGTGATAGAGTAATAACGCGTTATAATGCAAAACGGATAAATTTAATTTTCATTTTGCCATAGCATTTATTTATAATCACATTTCTGATATCCTGATAGTTTTATTTATTATAATTTTTATATTTCTACACCGAGAGAATTCTCTTAGAATGTATCCTGAAAATTCTGGTAATCGTGAAACAATGTGGTATTGAAAGAATTTTATATAAGAGAGTTTCTCTAATTAATATTTACAACAATAAAAAAATAATAATATATACATAGTAAATTTTATCTATAAGATATTAATATTTTTTATTGTGACAAAAATAATCAGAGAAACTCTTATCAAATTTGTACAATATTGTCCCACGGATTATCACGATTTCCAGGATAAATTCTAAGAGAAAATTCCTTTTGCGTACTGAAGAGACGTGTACCAGACGATTACCAATTAATTACAATTTTTTAACGCCAAATAAAAGTGTTAAATTATTATTATATTCTATTATGCATGCTTATTTATGGATATTTTTAATTTATTAATTGATCTATTCTTTTTTCCTAAAAAACGTGGTTTCTCTCTTAGGCTCACTTGCACACTGTAAAAAAATATGTAATATATTACACAAAAATATGTAAAATTACATAAATAATAAGTGTAAAATTACACGATAAATAATAGAAATAATTACCTTTTCATTATTTATCATGTAATTTTACATTTATTATTTATGTAATTTTACATATTTTTAATGTAATTTTACAAAATTTTTTTACAGTGCACGTATCGGGAGGGATCCTCGAAAGGGAAGGCTCCAATTAAGAGTCTGTGAAAGTATATTGCGAGTTTGTCTGTGAATATCGAGACAAAAATAAACATTACACCCTTCGCTGTAACGAACGTTGGCCACTGCGAGATTAACGTCGCGTAACTCATTCGTTTATCCCGCAACGTCTCGGGAGTGCTACAAAGTTGTAACTCATAAATCTCAAGAGGTATAAGTGCTTTTGGTGGGAATGACATTAACATTGCGAGCACGTTAACCCGAAAATCTTGAATCTATCTAATACCTGTTGGAATTTCCAATCTTCCAAGAAATTTGCAATAGAAGAGGAAGCATACAGAAATAAATGAAAGAGAATCTGCAAAGCGATATACAAATAAAAAATATTATGTACACAATAAAATTAATTGAACATATGTTACATCTTATTGTGATAGATATTAATATTTTTTATTGTGGTAAATTTTAATCAGATACTCTCTTACAAAAATCACCATATTGTCCCATGATTATCATGATTTTCAGGGTAAATTCTAAGAGAAAATTATCTTTGTGTACATTAGATTAATTATTAAAGAATAATAAATATTTTAAATAAAATAAAGCCTGATAATTATATATAGAAGTACGGTATATTTATTATATTTACAAAATATATATATTTAAAATATAAAATATATTAAAATTTTTTATTTCTCTACTCTTAGAATTCCTTTTAGAAATTTTTAAAAAAATTCTAAAGAATGAGCGATACATTAATATAAAAAAACTTGCGGAAAAAATTCACAAAAATAAAAATGTCTGAATTTTCGGAGTAAATTCTAAGAGAAAATTCTCTCTGTATTTTCTCTATCGTCGCAAAAAATTTTCTCGCGAAAAAAAGGAAAATCGACAACATCACACGTGAACGTTTCGTGTTAAAAGTTGCGGAAGCATCCATCATCCGCGCCCACACATCGGCGATTCGGTCAATGCCTTTACCATTAGACTATTCCGACGACGTCAGAAGTTCCTGGGTTTCCAATAAAGATCAGGAGACCGTATCATTCAATCACCTTCCCACCCACGCGGCGTCGCCTTCACTCTCAATTACCGCACACACATATGTGCTCAAGCAGGTCGCACGTGTGTCGGCAGCCGCGGTAGTCGACGAGAAGAGTATTTCGACAGATGAAAGTCGTTTTCAGGAAAAGCGCTTCGATACGATCAACGTTTTACGAGGTTTTATCCGAGACCGAGACACGCATACATGGAAACAGAGAGAGAGAGCGCGGAAATAATCTCGCGAAACTCGAGAAACTATAATATTAATTCATCGAACTGAATTAATTGTACGAAGTGATATTAGTTCGATTTTTTAAGAAAACACAGAGAAAATTTCCTCTTAGAATTTGCCCCGAAAATTCAGAAAATTTTTCTCATTTTTTATAATTTTTAAAAAAATTTGTAAATGAGAATTATAATAGAGAAAAAAAAATTATGCAAATTTTGTTCGTCTTGTTACATTATTTTTTCAATTTTTTTGTAATATATGCATGCTTCATTCTAACATCGTTTACATTATTATATCTTTAGTTCTAAATCTTGCTCTCAAATATTTATATAATACCGGTGCATTACTAGATCGAACGTGTAAGTGCAAAATGCACGGTCGTTATTCCTATTTCTGCGATAATAACATATTGCCTCGTCATACCTTGAGAACCTTCAAAGCGCTTCGGTGCATCGGCCTTTATGCATTATACAGATATGCATAGGTAATCGCGTGCACATGAAACTCGTACGTGGAAACCGTCGACAGCTTAATTACCGCTAGATATAAATTCATTTGTTGAACGACATATATCATAAGCAGCTGTCAAAAGAAGTATAAAATTAAGGCGGTTAAAATTTAGAACTCGAGAGATAATAATGTAAAATATGTTACGAAAAATTGAAGAAAGAATATAATATAATAGCAAAATTCGTAAAAAAATAAAAAATTTCTTCGAAAAAATTGCATTTCTGCGATTTTCTGAAAAATTAAATTGAAAGAAAAAATATTAAAGCAATTGAAAAATAAAAGGCCAATTATTAAAATGGCAAGAGGCAGTAATAATATGCTGGATTTTTATTACATCAATATAATTAAATGTTTTGAATTTAGTAAGTAGATTTTTTATTAGAAAATTGCCACGGAAGAATTATTAATATGAACATTATCTAAGAAAAAAAACTTTAATTATTCTCTCACGCTCTTTGTTTTCTAATTTAAGAAAACTGAACGCAAATATCAGCGATTCTCGGTAATCGGCTTAATCGCGTATTCCAGTTGTGCAAAACGCAGTGTCTAGCATCATCGGCATAAAGGCTGAGAGATCACGAGGCTAAATCATCTAGCGCGATCGTGTCCTATTTTCGCGAAAATAACTGCTCGGAAGAGAGCTTCATTTTAGAGCACGTCTTATCCCTTATGCATTATAGAGACGCGTGTAAATAACGCGGGCACAAAATACATACATGTTTGTACGTGCAAGCGACGTGTACTTCGTTAATACGATAGGTAAACTCCATCAAGGAGTAATAGATCGAGCGAACTCGGTTAATGGAAACGCAAGCAGAATCACGAGAGATCAACGTACACGTTTCATGTATCGTGCGTTCTCGATTAGTAACAGATGTAATTGAATGGTATTGGAATTGGAATTTAAAGACGAATTATAGGATGGTTTAGAGGTAAAACGCGAGCCGACCATGGATAAAAAAATCAAACTTTTCTAATTTATAAATGAACTCGTTTCAAGTATATATAGAGTTTATGAAACTTATATAGCAATCTCATCGTGAATTAGTTACTTCATAAGAATCTTAAAGCTTTCGCAATTTTTTCTCCCAGAAAAAAATTTGTAGAACGTATTTAAAAAATGTATACTTAATTACGTGCTTTTCGTGAAACTCTTACCTGTCTACCGCGCAAAGCGCACAACCACCATCCCTCAAGACCAGCAGTGTTTTGCTCCAATACAGTGAGAACATCCCCTTTTCGAAAAGCCAGCTCGTCTGGTGCCTCGGCGATATTATCGTACAGCGCTCGCGCTTTCACGCATTTCTGTAATAAAAAAAAAGAACAAAAAATATTAGCACAATATATTTTTGTGCACAAGAAATACAAATCGAGAAAAAAAATTAGAATATAAAATGATTATATAAAACGGATTTATAGTATATATCCTCGGGATATTAGTCTTATTATAATTATAAAATCCATATTTGTAATATGAGCAGGGTTTTGCGCGAATTTCTCCGAAAGATTAATTATCTCAAGCCTCCACTCAACGTTGTGTCTACAAATTTCGCATCTGAACACGCTGTCCAACATATACAGAGTGTCTGAATCAGGCATCCATCAAGCGGCACACCGAAAATATACAAGTAGATCTCGTTATTTGGAGATTATTTTTCCTTAGCAAATATGTCGAGGGAAACTATCATTTTTTGCATGTTCCCAATTTTTGCCATCATGTATCTTTATAACTAAACTTCAAATAAAAATTTTATTAAAGTAAACTCTATTTGAAATTAATTGAAGAATATGGTTTTGTTAATATTTTGTTTCCATTAGGCTTAGTTTGCGAAAAACCATTTATTTTCAACCGCTTATAATTCGAAAATTATTGATGTCTCAGTATTTTTGTTGAGAAAAAATTGTCTCCAAATACAGGATGATGTCCAGCAGACTCAATGAAAAAAATTCCCTGACTTTTTAGTATTATTTTTTTCAAATATATAGTTTGCATATATTTATATGATAAATCAATTAAATGTTAAATCACGAAATCCTTGGGATATTTTTGTCAACAATGAAAAGGTTCGGAAGTTAAAACAAAAATTTAAATCAATTATACAATACAATCTGCATTATGTACGATAATCGAAACAAACATGTCACCATAAACTATATAAATAATCAGAAATCCTTTTTTATTTTTTTATAGTTTTGTCTCTATTAAACACATTGAAATAAAATAACATGCACAATTTAGTTAATAAAAAATTCTAAATTATTGAGATAAATGTAGAATGTGAAAAAATCCAGATAAATAAAATTTTTTCCAAAGGTCTTTCAAATGTTTTTAAAAAATTCGGATAATCATATTGTTTAATAATCATGACAACAGTGTCAACTAACTGCGCTTTTATCAATGAAGTATGTAAAAAATTTTTAATTCTTGCGTTTAACATCAAAAATGTTTATTAATTTTAATTAATTGTACCATTCTAGTTTTTCACTTGAAAAGAACCAAAAACAGATGGTCGAAACGTTGTGGAAATAAAATAAAAATTTCTTGGCTAGTTTGGGTCGAATTAAATAAAATAAAATTTCCTGACTTTTTTCTAACAATTCCAGATTTATAAAATTCCCTGAAAACGCCCGACTTTCGAGATCCCCCTGAAAGAACAAGATCCACTCGTAGCTTTTCGGTGACACCCTGTATGCGTGTATTCTGACTCGGCGCTTTTCGCAGCGGATGTGCGATATGTACTATGGACAGATGGTACATATCGTCGCATATCGGTGCCCGCAATTGGTTTCATTCGAAAAGTCAACGAGTCAGGCGGTTTCCACGCAAACGCCAATTGGTTCTAGCGGCTCGACTCGTCCTTTGGCCAATTTAAATCCATAAAATCCTAGCACGATCTCGCCGCAGCCTCCCTCTTGTCCATCTGTCTCTATTTCGAGATACATCAGCGAACGTCTCTCCTTCTATCCCACGTTGTTGCGTGTTTCCTCGTCGAGAGGAGATGTAACGATCACTTAAACGACGATCTCGTCCCCGAAGTGCACCGCGTTTTACGAGGAAGCTCTTTCTCGCGTCTCTCCCATCTCTATCTCAAGTGAGTTTAATTGAAGTGTGTCCCGAACCATTTCTCCGTCTTTCTCTCTCCCTCGGTCTTCTGAGTCTTTTTCTATTTTCATCGCCAACAAACAATGATGTCATATATACGTGGCGTCTTCGACCAAGTTCCGGCACCGTTCGACGAAGCGCGTAATTAAGGCGTCGCTACGATCATTAGCGAGAGCCACTGAATGTAATAATTGCCTGCGCTTAATTCCACGAAAGCCACGTGGAAAATCGAAACTCTTGCGATACGATGAGGGTGATGATGATCATTTATTTCAACGTGATGCGCGTTTAAATTAAGATGATGACTTGTGTTTTCCGAGAAAAATTATATAATACGCGGAAAAGCGAGATGAATAATTAAAGAGCGAGACTTTATATAATTGTATATGAATTATTAAAATATTGGATAACGTTGGAAAAGTTTGTAAAAATAAAAGGATAAAATTTAACCTTGGTACTTTCGTTAAAGTGAAACAATTGAAATAGCATTTTGCTGATAGTACAATAAATCGATATCGTAATTTATTCTTGATGAAGTTCATTCGAATTCCGTTTTCTTATCAAGCGATCTCGCTTTGATAATCAACTTGCAAGATAAAAATAATTAACCGCAAATTCGCGGAAAAATATTATCCGAATGATTGTATGTAAATAATATAAATATTAATTTAATTAAATTATAACTGCTTTCTCATGTAACAGTAAGTTTTTTCGCCGCAGCTCCGTTATATAAACTTTATTAACATAATAATATTTCATATAATAAAATTCCATTTCGTACCGCCGTATTCCATACGGTATACATATGTAATATATTCAGTGTTCTCTCTCTCTCTCTCTCTCTTTTTGGATACATAACTCTTAAATGTGAAACCGCTGTCGCTTGAATTAAATGCGAATAAAGGCTTTTTTACTCTTGCATTAGCATCAAACAATGAATAGTATCTCACCTGCATTGCAAAACAAAACTATGTATGTCACATCACGTACAATCTAACAATAAGTAACATAACACATGGAGAAACCTCCATCAGTAACTAGAATCTTTCCACGTAAGAAATATTTCATGGGGACGCATGATTAATATTTTTTGAAATTTAAAAATGCGTGCCACTAAAAAAAAATATTAAATCCGAATACGTATATTTATTTCAATACTGCCCAATGAATTATTTATTTGAAGCTAATAATATTGATTTGATATGAAAAATATTTATTTGATATAAGAAAATTTTTTCAAAACAAAATAAAATATTTATTTATTTCAAATAAATGATTCATTTGGGAATATTCAAATAAATATTTATTAATTTAGTTATTTTTTTCAGTGTGCTGATTGTGTAAAATATATTTAAAAAAATGTAAATATAAAAAGAAGTTTACGAAAAAATTTTTTAAAACAGGTAAGTGTCACAGAAAATATTTTAACAATGTTATTAATTTACGAGTTAATTTCTTATTATTTTTTAAATTATTTCTTCTCCCAGAATATTTAAAATTGATGATATACATATATGTCTTCGATTCTTACTGGAGTAAACCTACACCCTACTCGTATATATCTACAGTCGTACATTTAAAGCCGTTTATCTCTCTATCTATTTGTATTGACGTTTCAAGTTCATTGTATGTGGTCCGAATACATCGATTCTATTTTCGGAGATCAGGTTGTACATACGTTATGAATGCAAGCCCGTCAAGAATGCAGCTCGATACCATGAAAGGATGCTTATCTGTTCCGAACCTTAAGCCAGACGCACAGGTACCTGCACTTAGGATTCACGACTCTTTCATTGACAGTTTATCCTAGTAGGGTTGTGTCAAAATGGTCAAAGATTGAGTGTGAGATGATTTATATAAAATTTCATAGATCAGCATTCTGTGCTTAAAATATTAAATATATTCTCTTTAAAGAAACAAATTTTAAAGTCTGAAAAATACTCTCTCTTTCTTAATGAATCTTTTTATCTTAATATTTAATTAAGAAAATATATACTATATTTTATCTAATAATCTATTATAAAAATATTTTGAATACACTTAACTTGATTATATTTTAAAATCGTAAAATATTTTTATTTTAAATTCTTGTGTAAAATCATACAATTTTGAAAAAATTTGGTAAAAAAAATTTGATTAATAATTGCGTTATATGTATGCAATGTTTATACGTCATAATACACATATACCTGGAATTAAATTACATTTCCTTTATCAAATAAATTTGATATTACAGAAAATATTATTCGAGAAATAATATTTCTTTGATGCAATGTTTGTTTGTGTGTACAGATATATAAGTTTTTAAGTAAAAAAATTCCTTTAAATTCAGTATATATTTTCCTTGAATAATTTGTCATTTCTACAAAATATTCTAGCTTTAAAATGTAATTATTTTACACTTTCATCTCAGTGAGTGTAAAATATGGGGAAGTTGGTGTTAATATATTAATCGAATTTTAAATTTGCCGATACTGTACATTTAAAATTTGATTTTGACAATAACAATGCAGGACGACATCAAAAGAAATTTTAATGGCCCCGATCGAAAAAGGGCGGTTCATGCCACCGGAGGCTGTATTTACGCAGCCTTTCTATTGTTCGGGATAAAAAAGGGCACCCGCAACCATCTGCGTCTGTTATTTTTAGGGTGAAAAAAAGCAAGGGCGAGGTCGAATAGTAGTTCTCATGTTTACGCGTAACCCAGTTAGTGTCAAATGCAACGCAGAAAATGCACTTAATTGTTTGCGTTACGCATTTTTTTTCTCTCTCGAATTCTTCGTCCAATCGGTAAGACTCGGGATTTAAAAGTGATCACTCAATGACTCATGCATAATAAATCGATTCATCAAACCGTTTCATCGAGGGAGAAGTACGTTTCGTGTCAGTTCCTTTGCATAATCCCATAGATAAGGATGATCACATCTAGCTTGATTGAGAGAAACCGAGTTGACAGAATCGAAATTGAATAAATTTACTATTATGTAAATATATGTATATTTTTCCCCAAAATATTTATTTAAAACAATTTTTAAACTTTTTATTTAATACACTGAAAAAAAATGTATTATAAAAAAAATGTTCAAATAAATTTATTTGAAACTAATAATATTGATTTGATGTAAAAAATATTTGTTTTAAATAAATGATTTATTATAGGCAGTACTAACTTTAATATTTATTAATTTAATTTTTTTTCAGT